TTAGTAAGTTTTGAATATAGTACAGATAATACACTTAAAAAGTAAAATATTAATGTTCAAGTCCCATTGTTTTATCAACACCATAAAAGATATCAGAGAGCAATCATAAATTTGTGTCTCTAAATCATCTGATGCTTTTCCAGTGTGAAGAGCATTGTCTATAGAAATAATGATGAAATCAATTCTGGAAGCATAGCTAAAACTTTGTTGTGTATTTCTCAAGGTGAAAAGTCACTAATTATTTGTCAAACAAGAAGTGACTAAAGGGTATAATGGATTTACTGTCAGGCAAATGACAACCAATCTAATTTTAGTGAAGCCTAAAAGTTATAATCTGAAATGATATAGTTTAATCCAAGAGAAGGTGAAAACTATACTTCAGGTATGGTGGTAATGGTATTTCAGTTCTACAAGGTTATCTTTTATTCATAAATCATATTTACTCTCTACGGCCTGCATTCCACATAGTTAACTTTAAGCATGAGTCATCCCACCCCTATTCAGCAAAGCATATGTTTAGGTGCTTTGCACCGCTACAGACTAGGGACCGAATGGCTAGGCAGCAGTTCTGCGGAAAAGGACCTAGGGGTGACAGTGGACGAGAAGCTGGATATGAGTCAGCAGTGTGCCCTTGTTGCCAGGAAGGCCAATGGCATTTTGGGATGTATAAGTGGGGGCATAGCGAGCAGATCAAGGGACGTGATTGTCCCCCTCTATTCGACATTGGTGAGGCCTCATCTGGAGTACTGTGTCCAGTTTTGGGCCCCACACTACAAAAAGGATGCGGATAAATTGGAGAGAGTCCAACGAAGGGCAACAAAAATGATTAGGGATCTGGAACACATGACTTATGAGGAGAGGCTGAGGGAACTGGGATTGTTTAGTCTGCAGAAGAGAAGAATGAGGGGGGATTTGATAGCTGCTTTCAACTACCTGAGAGGTGGTTCCAGAGAGGATGGTTCTAGACTATTCTCAGTGGTAGAAGAGGACAGGACAAGGAGTAATGGTCTCAAGTTGCAGTGGGGGAGGTTTAGGTTGGATATTAGGAAAAACTTTTTCACTAGAAGCGTGGTGAAACACTGGAATGCGTTACCTAGGGAGGTGGTAGAATCTCCTTCCTTAGAAGTTTTTAAGGTCAGGCTTGACAAAGCCCTGGCTGGGATGATTTAATTGGGGATTGGTCCTGCTTTGAGCAGGGGTTGGACTAGATGACCTCCTGAGGTCCCTTCCAACCCTGATATTCTATGATTCTATGACCTGATCCAGACCCTGTTGTCTCCAATCAGTGCCGAATCAGGATAGATTTACTTCCAGGCTTAATGCTTTGCTGAATCGGGGCCTCAAGTATGATCCTTGGAGGGGCTGAGCACAAACAACTCCCACGGATATCCACTTTTTAGAAAGAAATTTAAGATTGTGGTGGAATTTAGGTGGATCATTTGCTTACTGTTCTTTGTTTTACTATTGCACACCCTGACTCCCGGTGGTAGTCAATGTCTCCTGTCAAGGTTCCTTCCCCACTCTGAACTCTAGGGTACAGATGTGGGGACCTGCATGAAAAACACCCTAAGCTTATTTTTACCAGCTTAGGTTAAAACTTCCCCAAGGTACAAACTATTTTACCTTTTGTCCCTGGACCTTATTGCTGCCACCACCAAGCATCTAACAAAAATAACAGGGAAAGAGCCCACTTGGAAATGTCTTTCCCCCAAAATCCACCCAAGCCCTACACACGCCCTTTCCTGGGGAAGGCTTGATAAAAATCCTCACCAATTTGCATAGGTGAACACAGACCCAAACCCTTGGATCTTAAGAACAATGAAAAAGCAATCAGGTTCTTAAAAGAAGAATTTTAATTAAAGAAAAAGTAAAAGAATCACCTCTGTAAAATCAGGATGGTAAATACCTTACAGGGTAATCAGATTCAAAACATAGAGAATCCCTCTAGGCAAAACCTTAAGTTACAAAAAGACACAAAAACAGGAATATACATTCCATCCAGCACAACTTATTTTATCAGCCATTTAAACAAAACAGAATCTAACGCATATCTAACTAGATTGCTTATTAACTCTTTACAAGAGTTCTGACCTGCATTCCTGCTCTGGTCCGGGCAAAAGCAACACTCCCCCCCCCCTCCAGCTTTGAAAGTATCTTGTCTCCTCATTGGTCCTTTTAGTCAGGTGCCAGCGAGGTTGTCTTAGTTTCTTAACCCTTTACAGGTGAAAGGGTTTTTCTTTTGGCCAGGAGGGATTTAAAGGTGTTTACCCTTCCCTTTATATTTATAACATCTCCTAAAATCAGGTTTATATTTCTGAGGGATACAGTCAAGATTTGCAGTAGTAAAGGGTGGTAATAGTTCTGTTTCCTGTAATGCTGAATAAGCAATTAAAAGCAAATGTCTTGAGTTACACATGAAAGCCAACAGCTCAAGGGAATTTCATTTTTGGGGAGTTTTCCTCATAATTGTCTTTTCAAAATCTGGTTATTGTGATTTTTGAGATGTTGGAATAGGGCAAGAGAAAGGAATCACTTTTATTTGTTCTCATTTTTAAACAGCATTTCTCTTTTGTCATGTAGATCTATCTATAGCAGCTACTTATTATATGATCATTAAAAATTGTCCCTTGTACTTCCAACAGAGCTGTTCTGAAGGGTAAAGGTCAAAAGTGTCAGCTCCGCTACATCTTCCCCATTTTTCTTGAATCCCCTGGAGGTTACCCTGACAGAACTCTGCAGGATTTTTGTGGGGGGAGCCAAGGGTGCAACACTGTTTGTCCTTCTTCCTTCAGGTGAATCCTCCTTCAAGTGCAGCTGGCCAGGATGCAGCAGTGCAGTAATGTGTAAGGTCCTTGGGACAGATTTTTAAAGGTATCTAGCACCCAAAGACGCAGATAAAATCCCATTAGGTACCTACCTTCATGTTTAGATGTCTCAATTCCTTTAAAAATCTGGCCCTCTGATGTTGCACTGTTTGGGTAAGTATAGCAGACTGTCTTTGATTTTATAGTCTTTAAAATTCAAAAGTGAATAACAAAGGAATGGTGGCAGTGCTAATTACTCAATTTCCCTGTATAGACAATGTCTTTATCTGATTTCATTGATGAAGTGCTTCTTTTTCTGTAAAATATAGATATTTGGCAGTGCCTATTTTCCAATAGTAAAATATTAACAAATACTGTAGGATTGCCGTTTATTTGTTAACGTGATACCTACACGTTTTCTCTTTTGTGAATCTGGTGTAATGTGACAGGACTCGAGTTGCAGTAGTACAATTCTTGATTGCTCTGTTTTTTTTAAATGACAAAACTGAACATGACATTACTTCATAGAACAGTATCATTTGGAGCACTGGGTTTGGTGATACTGTTGCTTAATCAAAAGCCCAAGCATGTTGCTCAAGAAAGCTTGCGCAACTCCTATAAAATGCTGGATGTTCATGAAGCAGAGTTCCGATGATTTAGTTCACAGTATCAGTAAATACATCTAAAAGGTATAGGACATTAGATATAATCATTTTCCAGAGTTCACTTTTTTAAGGTGTGCTTGTGTATGTACGATGCACTGGGAATTCAGTCTCATACATTGTCTGTTCGCGGGTTCATTGAATAAAGTCCTGTCTGGATACTGTTTGATCAGTAAATATGCCCACAACCCAGACAATGCTACTGCCTGACCAGACGAGATGAGCTATTTTCTTTGTACAGTCATTTCACACAGGCTTAATCGTAGCTCTAGTGATACCCATGATGGGTGGGAGGAAATCTAATGTGTCCTTAAAATTAAGTTTAATCTAATTTGGGACCACAAACACTATTGTACGTAAAACATAGTTGTATGGTTATTGTACAGCATCACTCCTAGGGGGAGTTAAGGTATTTTGAGGGCCTTAACTGAATATTTCCAAACCTGTGCATGTTTGGATTTCTTTTAAGTTTAATTTTAAAGCTAAATTTCTTGGATATGTAATGCTTGGTTTTGACATAATTACAACATCCCCATAATGCTTTTACCCTTAAGACACTGAGATGCAGTCTCAAACTTAGCCCCACTTTCATTTAGTTTTTAATCTGAGAGAAAAAATAAAGGTTTGTGCCAGCATTCTTGGCCCAAATTTCCTCTGACTGTCCAACACTGTGTAGCACGTGGTGTGCCACTTAGATGCCTGTATGCCTGACGAGGCAGCATTTGACACACATATATGATAGTCCTTTTTCTAAAACACAATGCATATTTAAAACAATACACCTATCAAGAAGTGTGCAGAACCATCAGAGCAGACACATGAACCTGTCACTGAAACCCTTATCTTCTTCTCTCTGACCTGCTCTCTTTATGTATATATTCACTTATCTTGTTTTTTATTTAGCACCAGATACTGTACACAAATTGAAGGCAATGAGAGCACTTGCATGAACAGGATTATTTACACGAGTAAAAATCTGCAGGATCAGTTCCATGAAAGGATGCTACATACATGCAAATTATTATTATTATGAATAATAACAACAACTTTGATTGTGGATATGGAAAAGCAATTTATCTGTTGTATCCACTAAAACTCTGATCCACTTATTCTTATGCTTAAGTGTTTGCAGTAAGTTAGGCATAATGTAGGACTACAAAAGACTTGTAGATATCTTGCATTGGAGTCTGTTTATGGTAAATCATTTCCCTGGTTTAATGCAGAATAGCAAAAATGTGCATTTAAAATAAGAAAAGAAAGATACACTTGTACAAAGACAAAAAGACTAATCAATATTACTTAAAGCAAAGAAAAACACCAAATAACCATTTCATTAAAATAATAGAAAGAAAAAAACCCTGTACTAAAAATTAACATTACAGACTTTTCTAATTGAATAATAATGGATTTTATTTTAAAAGAAAGGATGCATTGTACTAATCTGCTCTCTCTGATCACTGAATTATTTCAGCATTGTTAAGTTAATTAACAATTCAGAACCAAATACAAAGACTGCTGAAGTAGGCAACCTTACCTTCACCTGCATATGCCAGAATAGAGCGGGCTCGCATCTGTTTTCCTTCTGTGGTTTTGCCTGAGCAGGTGTGAGAGCAGGACGACCATCCAGACCACATGCTGATTACACAATCCTTTGGGCATGGAACTTCACAGACAATGGGAATTGGATAGATAGCATCTCTACACAGCTGTCTGTCAACCTCTTCTCCTGGGAAAGAAAAGGCCAGTAGCAGTCTATCATTGTTAAATTAACTTAAAATGAGCAATCTAGCCCAGATGGGCACACAAATAAATTAGATTCTGTTGCTGTGTAAAAACAAAGTAAATAGATTACCCATCAGAATGACGGTCTTCTATGGCCTGATGTTAAAAGAACATGCCACAATTCTCAAATGTACTTATGTAGCAGAATTTGAACTCTGCTGAAATGGATATGGGTGTGGGTCATAGCAACTGTAAAAAAATCATGAATATATGATACACATGAACAAAATATATTATATACCCAAACAATGTAAGTATATTAGGTCCAGGCAAGTGAGCAGCCTCAATTTCCAGAGGTTTCAGGGGGGAAAAAAAATCTTAATTTTCAGTTCATGTAGTTTTCTCAGCCCCTGTGTTTTAATATGCACAACTCAGTCAAAAACAAAAACAAAAAAACAACCCCAACTTTGCATTAAATTTGGGTGTCAGAATGTGTAAAGTGTTTAAGCAGGATGGGAACAAAGCTCCTTATTTGGTTCTAAAAGCTCTTTGTTAATTAGCAGGGCCAACATCTGGCTCGGCCACAGATGTTTTGGGGTTCTCTTGGGTCAAGTTGAGGTGCACATCTAATTATATGGTTAGAAGTCTCATTAATGGAATTTAAAAAGTCTCATTAATGGAATTTTTTTTAAGGGAGTAGGGGCTGGAGCACCAATACCAGGATTACATTTAATGTCAGGAAGGAAATTAAGTGCTACAGTTAAAACTAGGAATCTACAACTACCCAATGGACAAAACACTAGTTAATTTACAATAAGGAACACTGCAACAAGTAATTGGGTCGAAGATCTATCTTGAATGATCTTATTCTAGATCTAGATTCTCTATCATTACTTCTGTGTAAGATTTGTAAACAAATCCTTCATTGGAGGTCTTTTAGTGAACTTGAAAAGAATGGGCTTCATTGCACAGCCCTGTACGCTGAACCAGCTATTGAGAAGAAGTCCAACTTTACCACTGAGGAAAACACAGAAGCTATTTAGGCAAAGGACAGTACAGAGAGGTGTAAATGGATGGAGGCTCCTGGCTCCACAGTGTTGTGAAGAATGAAGTCCAGGGACAAGGTACATGAATACTGCCAAATGAGTAAATGGGTACCAAAAGGTTTCACTAACAGTGACAGAAGCACATTTCTCCTGAGGGTAAACCCTCATCGTAAATAGCAGAGGAAAACCAGGGATTAAGCAGTTTGGGGCCAAAATGAGTCTTCTAGAGACATGGTCTTGTCACCATAATGTGCATGCATCAAAGAATGAGAACCTAGTTATAGAAATCACTTTCAATAATTCTGGGGACTACACAGGACAGATTTCTGAGGTTCCATTCACCATTTATAACACTTTACCGAGATGGAAAGATCACAGCCTGTCAATGCCACTTTAACATACTACAGTTTGCTTCTTTCATTTCTCTTGTCTGTACTGTGCTGAGCATTTTAAAATAGCTGTCTTGGAATCCCTGTAATATCAAATGTCAGCATAGAAAAAACTCTATGGCATTATTATTCATCCATTGAGATCTCACTGAAATATGTACACTCTCGATGGAACTGACTAAGACAGTCCATTCCATTCCATTCGATCAAACGTTTAATAGCTAATGTCAATGAAATAATTTCACATCAAGATTTCCTATGAATTTAGTCCTTGATACAACAAAATATTTGGTAAAAAATAGTTACTATGCTCTTTATGTCTCAGCAGTGAAGACTCCAGTTAATATTAATAACAGATGACCTTATTGTCAAAGGTTAAGTCAGTGGGAGCTGTGGGTACTGATAATCACAAGTCTACAAAAATTTGCTTTCTCCCAAGCACAAAGTTAGCCTTTTATTACTAAAAAAGAATAAAAATAATCTGAACCATTAAGAAGCCAGCTAAATAGAGACTACATGAATCTTAAAGCCTCTCTGTCTCAGGCCAGGAATGTACACATTGAGTTTCAAACTTTAAAAAATATTTGTGTGAAAAGATAAATGCCTGAAAATCAGAGTTTTTACAATGGCATACTGTTACTCTCAGCATTGTTAATGAATGCTATAATATGACATAGGGTTAAAAATAGATTCCTGCTAAAATGGGGCAGTGAAGGGGGCTTGTTTTGTTTTGGGTGCACTATTGTCTCCCAGTTTCATCCCTGTCAAATCCTTTATTCACACTTGTTCTCAAGTCACAACAGGCAAAACCTCAAACCTCTCCTTGACAGAGTTTGTGACGTTTGAAGTTCTGAGGCTCATTTTGTATAAGTATTCTAAAGGTTGGGTGCTTATCTAAATTATCTGAACCTTTGAAATCAACCCATCAGGCTCCATGACAGTCACTTGGCAATCCCAATGGAACCTCATCCTTGTAAAAGGCCTCACACAACCCTCTCTTACTCCACAACCTCCTTCAGTGGGCTCTGGCTCCTTCCCTCTACAGCTCCTTTTACTAACTCTTTCCTAACTTACTTTCCTATGTTTTCAACTTTTTTTCTATTTTCCTTTAATGTTATTCCTTTATTTGCATGATACTTAAACTCTCATAAATTAGCTGACTTTCATTAAAATTCAGCTTTGAGTGACAGCTCCTATTTTTTAAAAAGTGCCTACCTAGTTGGGCAATATTTCTATGATATAATGTATAATGCAGATGCGCAGCTAGATTCATTTTCTGGTGCAGGGAGGTGCAAACTGCATGTGCGAGAGCTTCTGTGCCCAGGAGGGGTGGAAGGGATTCACTCTTTACCACAGGAAAGGCCAGGCTGTGTTCTTCAAGGAGTCCACAAGTGTCAAGAGGTGATTTAGTCTTTGCCTGGGCTCTACAAGTACCCCATCAGTGGTCTTCCTAACCTCAACCTCACCCTCTTCCCCAGGCAATGTCATGCCAGCTCCCAGTGGAAGGGTGACGGATGACATCACTACAAGCTTCCTCTGGGCATAGTTTCTGCTACTGACACCCTCCATTTGTGGACGTGCCAGCACCACACCTGAAGCTGGCCCAACCGGCAAGGAGCACTTTTTTTTTTTAGACCAACGAGTCAGGACTTATACAGATCAGCTGCACCCTGTGAATGGCAAACTCTTGCTACAGCAGAATAGGCTTCGTGCTCATAAATATCAGAGTAAATTTCCATGTGATGTTATTTAGCACAACAACCCCTTTTACTGCACTCCCAAAGCAGGCTCTAAACGAGGACACTGAAGACAGTACAATAAAACTAGCTCTATTAAGACAGTGCATGCCGAGGTGCATTATAAAAATTGCCTGAAGCAAATGGGATGGCAGGTAGAGGAACATTTGGCCCTTTATTTGTAAAGCCCAAATGTAAAGTAAAACCTTTATTGGACTCAATAAAGTTGTTAAGACAACTTAACATTCCTCTAAGATTAAAGTACAATAGGAACAGAAGCATTCCACAGGGAAAACGAAAACCTTAGCCTTGGCCCCATGTCTAGCAATCAACCAGAGTTCCTGAATGGCAAGAACCCAACAACTTGATGCATACAGTCAAACAGTCACTGCAATAAACTGGATGAAATTTCTGGAGAGCTTTAAATGTCAACAAAACAATTTTTATTTATCACAAAATGTAATCATCATACAGTCATAAATACTGTAGACTGTGGAAGCCTCAGGTCTGCAAGAATCTGTCTGGCCGCGTGCCGAAGTTCATCAAACAAAACCTCATACAATCCAGCCTAGAAATTAACATTGTACAGATTTGTGCCTTGGCACTGGTTAGAGTCCAGATAGGTTGAAGTCAGTCCCTAATGTTTGTACTTGCGCTTCTGAGGCTGTAAAAGAAGAAATGTCTAAGTGCCAACTTGTGGTGGTATCTTGAGATTTCTACACTTCTTGGAAGTGTCATATGATGGCCTCCTCTGAGGTACAACAGATGTGATTGTTAAGTAGATCACAGGAAACATGGGCTTGATACAAAAACTGCTATTTCTTACTTAATAAAAAATAGAGACTAAACAAATGTAATGAAATATTAAAATAGGAAGGTTGATTAGGGTTACAATGCTATGGCTGGAAATTTGATGTATTAAATGCACAAATACTGCATTCAAGCATTTTTTAGCCTATGTTTAAAATCATAAGAAATCAGGAAATGCAAAATTAAGGATTCAGAAACAATGGTAATTCAAAAGCACTACATATGCTGGGTGAGTTATGGCATATATTTTGGACATACAATGCAACATATTTTACTACACATACAGGTCCCAATCCTTGGGAATGGCAAACCTGCACTCAGTGCAGGATCTGGTGGGAGAGGGGAAAAGGGATAGCAAAGGCAACTTTATACCATCTTTGCCCTTCCACAATTTCCAGGGTAACCTAAGGACTACTATAAAAGTACATTCACCTATGGTAGTCCCCACGAGGCCATTGCAACAGCTAGCAATTGCTGGAGTGGAGCAGATGCCAACCAAGATCTCTCCAAAAATGCTTTCAGAGCAACAATATCTGAAGTTCGCTCTGTGGCACCTGGGGATTCAATTACACAAGGAGATCCTCAATTGGCCACTTAGGACAACTTTAAAGCTTTGCTTTGTGCTGCTAGAGTGAGAATATGGCCTCTATGTGTACAGTATACACAAAGCATATCTACACAAAGCCACTGAATTAGCATTTCTGTTGGAACCTTAGTTTTTGCATTTTCTAATTTTTTGTTATGCCAACTCTATAAATGTAGTTAAGTATTAATATAGATTTTGCATAAAATGTCTTATGGGCATTTTAAAGAAAAGATGAGAAGAGAAGAAAAAAGGAAAGAAAATAGAAGCTTTACAAGTATTCAGCTCATAGAGTTTATAAGCTCCTCTGGCTTTGCAGGTGGAGCTGGTAGCTCTCTATTCTTCAGTTATCTGACTTGCAGAGCTAACAAGCTTTATCAGTGGAGTTAATTAACTCATACAACTAGACACTTAGGGTATGTCTACACAGGGATAGAAAA